AAGACTATAATGCTGCATATACCACTATTAGTGAAGCTTAATTTGTGTCTGTATAATGTAAGTATAGAGGCATACATAGAGCCTGAGATCTGGAAAAGTAGGAATAATAAAGGGACTTGGTTTGCAAAGTTAAAGGCATGTTTAGATAGCAATGTGTGCACATTTTAAGGAGAATCCAACAAACTAGTTAATATTTGAAAATCATTTTTCATATGTGTGTTTTTTTCAGAATGTAATAAATGGAGCATAAATAATTTTGTAGCTTAATATATAAATAATGATCTGAAAATGTCATTCTATGTGTATCATTGAAAAGAAATAAACTTTCAGATATAAAGAAAACTTTGAAAAGCAATTGTGTTGAGAGGAATAAGGACATTATATTTTCCATTGATATCCAAATCAACAAATGCAGTTCCAGATTGACGCTCCAATTTCTGCCTGGTGTTGAAACATAACAAGTTTGTGTCTCAGTCATGGAGTTGGCTTCAATTTACTGAGATTGAATTGACACGTCCTCCACTGCATAAGCAGGAGGACAGCCTTGTATTATAGCTCCCAGAAAATTGTATTGTCTGTATTTATTCTCTTTATAAGGTTACAATCGTTACAAAACTAAATGATCTGAGACTCCTCACAAACCCCTTGCCACTAGGAGCAATGCACACCTAATGAGGATACTTAGTAGACATTTGCTATCTTTGCTTAGACAATAGGAGAGACAAGTTACAAGAAATACAACAGAAAAGAAAAACTTGCTTTCTTTAGCACAAAAATACTTACAAAAGAAGGAAGATGTTTCATTCTAAAAGTATGAATCACTGTACTCATGGTACAGAACAACAGTGGATAATAATTACACTGTGGCACAAATATCAAATATTTGGTACATCCTAAAAAAGATAGATTAGTAAAAAAGAAATGAGGAAACGTGTGAAAGATACTTGGCTCAAGGAATGTGAAATGTCACTGATTAATTCCACCAAAAAAAATGTTCATAGGACACAAGTATCCATAATGTTTTGTGGAAACCCTTCTTTGCATGATTCAAGGCTTAATATATAGGATCTGGGAAGGTGGCTCACCAGTTAAAAACACGTTTTAGTCATAAAGAGGACCTGAGGTAAGTTCTCAGCACCTACTTGGTGACTAACAACTAACTGTAACTCCAGATACAGGAGATTTTATGTTCCTTCTTGCCTTCACTGCCAATGCAAGTGCATGTTTGTGTGTGCGTATGTGTGTATGTGTGTGTATATGTGTGTATGTTTGTGTGGGAGCATATATATGTGTGTGTGTGTGTGTGTGTGTGTGTGTGTGTGTGTGTGTATACATATATATATATGCCTGCATGTTATTGTGTGTATGTGTGTGTGCATCTATAAACACCTCTACAATAGAGAGAGGAAAGGAAGAAAAGAAATGTTGGAATTAAATTATAATTTCAAAAACTCTCTAAGTCTGGAGAGATGGCACAGCAGTTAAGAGCACTGGCTGCCCTTCCACAGGACATGGCAGCTTACAACTGCCTGTAGTTCCTAGGGATTTGATACCCTCTTCTGATCTCCAATGCACCAGGCACACATGGGATACTCAGACATGCATGTGCACACACACACACACACACACACACACACACACACACACACACACACACAAACACACAGAGGAAAAACATCACACATATAAAATAAACAGACGAATCATTAAAGAATTAAGTTAATATTTAACGAGAGCGCCACATGGAAGCTCTGGAATTCTACTTGGACAGAGAAGTGTTTTTGCTGAAAGTGATTCTTTTGTTGTTCGTTTGTTTATTTGTTTTGTTGTTTGGGGGAGGTTTCTTTCTTTTATTGGTTTTGAAAGGGATTCTTACAAGTAGGAAGAAGTAAGTGACAGTCAGGGATTGAAGCTGAAGGTACCAAGTAAGAGTCACCAGCACAGCTCCCGATAGTCCTGTAATCTACCAGAACGGAACTCCTGCATGGTAACAGCTGCCCTTCAATATATATTCTGCCCATTTTGTGTCTATGTGTATAAACACAATTACACATTTGTTTATAGTTATATAAGTCCCTTTTCTAAAAGCTTTCAAATCTATTAATAGTCATTTTGGGAATTAAGAATGGAAGGTGAAGATGGAGGACAGAAATGGTTTACTCAGTTTATACATTTATATTAAGATTGCATGTTTTACTGTAACAAATGCATACTTTTTATAACGTGAAAGTAATATGTAAACATGCAAAACAGGAGAATAAAACCTTCCACATTTATACATGCATTGCACCTTCACATAGTATGTAAACTGTTTATCATTTGAACCTGTATATTATATATTTTGTTGTAAGAATATAGCTTTTCATCTAGTACATAAAATCGAATTTCTGCTAAAAAGTTGGGCATCATTCTTATAAACAGAACTTTTTTTATTTATAAAAGTAAAGTGATTTTTACTTTGAAAGCACATTTCTTTTGACCAGCTTCCAAAAAGCATGTTTCACATCCTTATTCCTCAGACTATAAATGATGGGGTTCAACATGGGGCTTACAAAAGTGTAGAACACAGCAATGATTTTGGATTGTTCAACTGACTTGTCTGTGGGAGGTCTAACATACATGCAGAACAGAGTCCCATAAAACACAGTCACTGCCACCAGATGGGACCCACAGGTGGAGAAGGCTTTGCGCCTACCTTCAGCAGAACGCATCCTCAGGATGGCAATGAGAATGAACAGGTAGGAAATGAGGATTATGAGCAGGGAATTGGAGAGGTTAAATCCTGCTACCACAAACATAGATGTTTCCTTAATGAACGTGTCCGAGCAGGAGAGCCTGATGAGAGGAGGGTCAGCACAGTAGAAGTGGTTGATGATGTTGGAGCCACAGAAGGTCAAGCGGTATGTCCACATGGTTTCCATCAGGCCACTAAGGAAGCCATAGATGTAAGGACCGGCAATCAGACGCACACACACCCCTTTGGACATCTTGCTGCTGTAAAGCAAAGGGTTACAGATGGCCATGTACCTGTCATAGGCCATCACAGCTAGCATATAATATTCAGTAATAACCATAGCAATGAAAAAATAACACTGAACTAAGCAAGCAGCATAAGAAATGGTTTTCTTCTCGGATAAAAAGTTCACCAGCATCTTGGGAGTCACGTTGGTAGAATAGCACAAATCCAGGCAGGACAAGCTGGCAAGAAAATAATACATAGGAGTGTGCAGGCGTGAATCTACCCTGATCAGCACCATCATGCCGAGATTCCCTCCAACGGTGATCAGATAGATCACCAGGAAGAGCACAAAAAGGATAGGCTGCAGCTCTGGACGATCTGTTAATCCCAAGAGAACAAATTCAGTCACCAAGGAGTAATTTCCTCTGACCATTTTCTCACGTACCAGCATGTTCACTTAGATGGATCAAAAAAGGGGGAATGAGATACTTGTTAGATATTTTCTCTCTTTCCACCCATTTCCCACCTCCCTCTTATTATTCATCCTCACACAGCTATTACAAAGGTCTTAGAATGTCAGAGCTAGTACAATGGGTTTTCAAATCCTTTTTTTTAAAAAAAAGAAAGAAACTGTGGTGTGTGTGTGTGTGTGTGTGTGTGTGTGTGTGTACATGCACTTCCAAGCACATGAGTGGCATGTGCATGTTGTTTTAAGTATCAGAATCCATCATTTTTAAGCAAAATCTACCAAATTATTGTTAGAAATTAATTTTATATTTCAATCTGTCCTTAACCAAGGCACAAAATAGAAGTCTGCAGGCTTGGTCTACTATGGTATAAACAATAATCCCATATGTGCCCAATTCACAAGCTATATTTGTTTAATATGTAAGCTGTTCCTGGTAGCTGAATCAAACAAAAGTACAAAGTATGTGCCTTGACTTGGTGGCATTCTCAGAATGCTGCATACTTAATTAGACAACCTAGTATACAAGAAACATTGAACATCACATGCATAGAAGTTATCTCATGAAGAAATAAATAAGATAACCAATAATTATCTTTGCTTTGAAAAAGCTAGCTGTGTTATATGGTAAGGGTGATGAAAATTATAGTTAAATGTCAAAATTCTATATAAATATTTGAACTAAATAGATAGTGGTGTTTTAAAATAAGGATAGACACCAAAAAGCAATGAGGCTTATCTGGGGTTTGAAGAATTTATAATAATTATACAGAAGGACAAGAATACAAGGGCTCTCAAGTAATTTGAACATTACATGTGCAGGCATTCCACTGGAGACTTTCAATTGAAGTGGAAGCTATCCAATGTGTATGAGAAATATCACAAAGAAATCACAAAGGAAGGCAGTAGACAGCAGACATTCTTCTAAAAAGCCATTTCCTTATGACATTATTGACCAGTCTAAAAATTTTTGAGAATTATGGGTCAATATGCATAGTGATGAGTTTTCAAACATATATATTCTTTATGAAAGCAAATACAACAGAAACATAGCCCATTACAAATTTCACTGACGGTAATTACTTCTCTCTAGATTGGAAAAAATAAAAAATAAATTAAATAATTTAATATATCCACATATATTTATTTTCTATATGGAAATCTAAAAACTAATCACTTTATTTGGTAAGTTATATAGTTTATGGTTTTAAGTAGAAAAGACAGTTGCATTTTTGGTAAGTTAGTATGTATGCATTGTGAATATATAGGTCAAATTTGAAGTAACTGAAAATTCCATCCTACAAATTAAAAGACAAAAGTCACAACAATAATAAAAAATATAAAAACATCTATCAAATCAGCTCTACAGATGTCATTGGTATCTGAAAAACTGCTAGTTGAAATGTACATATCCCCATTTCAGGAACAGGCCAATATGCAAATTTCATTGTAACAGAGTAGCCTAGGACTGTTAAAGTCACTATTGTATGTGCATTCAGTCTTATACACAAAAGCTATTATCTACTCATTGGATTGAGTGTATGGAGTAGGAGAATATAGAAAATTTTAGTCAAGGAAAGGGAGAGAGAAAGTAAAAGTAGGAGTTAATGAATTTAAAATTCAGTAGTTGGGCTCCTAAATACCTGGCTGAGCATAAAAATATGCAGAAGTCAGTAAGAGTAGTTGAGAAAACTAGATTGTAAAGTAGGAAATGAGAACACAAATGGATAAGCTGGATAGTTGTGGAGGCATGTAGTTCCTATGAACTTCCTGGGAGTGCACACTGTTCTTATGGGATATACCATCATGGACTCCAGGACCTTCTTCTCTTTCTGGTTTCTACTGCCATGCTTCTCAAATATGTTACCTCCTTACAATGAATTACCCTAACTTCTAGGTCACGTTAGACAATGAAGATACATATAATTTTCTATGTTGTTAGTAAAATTCTTTTAAGATTTCATTTAGATTGTGACATCTCCCTTGTTATTCTTTCCATGATATATGGAGTTCATTTGTGTTCCATGTCAGACATTGAGCAGTTTCCAAAGGACCTACCATCTCCACCATACCTATCTTTCAATTACTAGTCTACCAATTCTAACCTCATAATTCTTAATGTACTTTTTAGATATATTAAGTCTTATCCCACTTTCTCTATCCAATATCTTAAAGATAAATCTTTAAAAGTTCTATAATATTTTTCTTTTTGCTAGAAAGAATAAAATACCAAATTAACCTAATTTCTTTTGATTTTTATAAGTTTTATTTTTTGATATTGTAATATGATTAATTCATTTCTCCCTTCCCTTTCCTCCCTATAAACCAGCATTTCTCAACCTGTGAGCAGTGGCCTCTTTGTGAGTTGAATGACCTTTTCATGGGAGTTGCCTACGGCCATCCAAAAACACAGATTATGATTAATAACAGTAGCAAAATTATAGTTATAAAGTAACAACAAAAAATGATTTTATGTTGAGGTCACCACAGCATGAGGAACTGTATTAAAGGGTTACAACATTAGAAAGGTTGAGAACCAGTGCTCTAAACCCTCCCATATACTCTCCTTTCTTTCTTTCTTTCTTTCAAATTCATGGCCTATTTTTCATTAATTTGTGATGAAGATATATTGTGGCTGTTAGAGAATTCCCCTTTAAATATTTTCTGAAAATATCAGTGAGATGATTAAATTATTTCTTCAATGTGATTATTTTGTGTATTATTTGATTTAAAGGTAGAAATGCAATTTGTCAACTAGAATGATTATCACAAACATATAATTTTAATAAATTGTTTTATATTTTTTAATGACCAATCTAAGTAACAAATATATACTCACTTATTTCAGTGAGATGAGACCCTAGACTGGTATTCAAAAGTGTTTTTATGACGCTTGACTCTTCATGATGAATATCAAAACTGAAACAAGTGAAAAAATTGGTAATACAAAGTTCATGATTTTGATTCCTACCTGAACTCATGAAAAATTCTCCCAGAAACACTAGAGGTCCAACCAAGGAACTGCTGAAAAGAATTTATGCCCTATTTGTATTTGGCAGTGTTTATCCCTGAAGTACTTTTCATCATACCCCAAAGCAATAATTAAAGAAAACATAGTAATTGGTTTAGACATATACCCACTAGAACCTTGGGATTTGAGCAATGGAATTGCATCACCTTTTAAGCATCTTGAGCTACATATTTTGTGTGATTATGAACTGATGCTCAGGGGATTTTTTTCATTAAGAATCATTATTTGTTGCAAGAAAATGTCCAGAATAATTAGTAGTGGTATAATGTCTTGACATAATTCATGGAATTTAATTTTTCTGATTCTTTCAAAGATGGAATTGTGCACTGTACAACCTCTCCCAATAAAGAAAAAGATAAGTAGTCACATTACAAATCTCAACATACATAAGATACTTTCTAATAATTTTATCATTTTAATGATTTATTAGACCATAAAAATAATATAATTAAACTTAATAAAATTATTAGAAAGCAAATTTATACAATATAGACATCTCTTAAATATACTAAAAATTTTTCAACAAGATTTCAGAACACCATAATTATCAATAAATAATACACTATTCTGATTTGATTTTCTGTCAAGGAACCAAACTATATCAACAAATTCCTCACTAACTAAAAAATGAAAATGAGAATAATCATAGATGTAGAAATTTGGTTTTGCAATCCTTAACTCATGAAGAATGAGCTGTGTCAGCAAGGAAACAGTAGGTAAAATCGTGTGTGTGTGTGCATCTGTGTGTGTGTGTGCATCTGTGTGTGTATTAAGAACTCAAACATCATTACATTGATGAATAGTTCATTTTAATCTAAGCAAATGATCTTTAGTCAGAGTAAAGGATATCAAAGGTAAAATATAGGGTAGATATAGATTATACTCAATATACAATTACTTACATGACAATGCCCTTATTAATGTGATATACTGTCAACAATAGAAATAAATAATGAAAATCGCAAAGGCATAGGCAGCACTGTACACAAGATCTGTATGAAATAAGTGTCCCCAATAATGGGGAACAAGGATGGTATCCGTCCACCTCTTTACAAAATTGTTATTCCAGAATAAGGAAGATCAAAAAGGAAGGAATAAGAAATGAGCCTGATGAAATTTAAGGGAATAGGGACAATTTTACTTACATATAAAAATGAAAATGTTAAGGAGTCTATAAAATAAACGAACATACTAGGGTCACTAAGAGAGACTAACTAATCTTCAGGACAAAAGCTGAAGCTTACATTTAAATGTACCTACTACATAGCCTTGCAACAAGCAAATATGGAATAAGCAATATGATATAAGACATCACGTTGTGAGCTTATCGTCCTGAATTATGCTTGAACACTGATTTGCATCTATATTCCTATCTTGAAAGCTGGAGATTTTATGAATCATTTGTAACAAATTCTCTGTTTCCTTAGATATTTTCATGGGGCTATATGAATTGTAAAATGAAGTAGCCAGGTGATTCTAAACAAACAACAAAACATGTAATGATCTTATGATATGTCTTAGTATGCAACTGAAGGCAAATACATGAGTATATGGTTTGATCTTATTTAATAGTGAGATAAAGCTTGCAATATATTCAGCACAAGAGATGGTATGTGTTGTTCCCAAAGTTCATCCTCTTAGCACTGATCCTGAAGTTTTGAGATTTTTGTGCTGCCAAAGAAATGTTATGATTTATTTACAGAAAAATCCCCAAAGGCATGTGTTACAAAGAGTAAAGCAAACATTTCTATCCTGAATGCAACTGGGATTTGAAGAACCAGTCAATGCAAGGCAATCACTATCTGCTATGGCTTACTGCTTACTTGGTTTCTGTGTCTCCCCTTTCTGGTTTTAGTCTTTACTCACAGGTCAACTTCCTCTAAATTGTCAGATGAAGATAAAACCAAAGTGATTTGACAGCCCTGAATCTTAGGAGAAACAGGCTTACAGAAGACTGAGACCTGGATCAACAGTCTTACACCTACAAAAGCATCGGCATAATCCATTAGTCTCATGCTACTTGCGTGACTCCTTCTCTATATAAGTTCATCAGTTAGACACAGAAAGGCACCATCATGATTCATTTCTTCTTCTTAACTTTTAAGTAGGTAAGCCAGTACAGACGTACCACTGTTTCTTAAATGCCCTTCATCAAAAAAGCTGATGGCTCTATCAGTGGATGGAACTGAGAGCGCGTGTATCCTGTTAACACTTGTAAACAGCAAGCACCAATTGGGGATGCAAACAGACCCCGTGGCATAGCACTTAGAAGTTTTCACTTAGAATAGTCCTTCTCCAAATCTGATGTGCATGTCAATCTGGCTACAACATGGATTTGAACAGGCAGATATGAGGTGGAATATGATCCATCATTTTAATATTTGGTGCAGTGATATCTGTGTTACTGGTTTGTATCAGTTGCTGTGCCATTGCTGAGAGAAAACATCTGACAGGAGCAACTTAAGAGAAGTAATGTGGGCTCATTATTTAAGAAGGTATATAGTTACTGAGGAAGGAAGGTAGAAAGGCATGAAAGAGTCAACTTGGTCACAATGTGTTCACTCTCAAAAAGCATGAGTTGAATGACCATGTCTGTACCTTCTTCTATGTTCATTTTTATTCAGCCATGACCCCAGTAAAGGGAATGATGCTGTGTGTTTTCAACATGTATGTTTTCCCACAGGTTAACCTCTATAGAAGTACTTCTACAGACAGAGGAAGAAGTGTGTCTCCTAGGTGAATTTCAACATAATCTAACTATGAACATTGACTATTACTTATCCATGAAGGACAGGCTGCAAAACAGGACTAAAAATAAGGCCAGATAATTTATCTCAAAACACATAACTTTTAGCTGGGACACCAAAGATTTGACTACAGAGAATATAAAAAAAAAAAGTCATCAAAATACAAATGTTTTGTCTCAAAACTAGAGTTTCAGTTTATTGAAAAACTGAGGCATCAATGCTCTCCTGATAACTTCTTGTCTGAGTATTGTTTTCAATGCCTGCTTTACATCTTTGTTCCTCAGGCTATAGATCAATGGATTCAGCATTGGACTTACAAAGGTGTAGAAGACAGC